TTCTTAAAAATGATAGATGTCCTGCCTGGGGAAGCTGCTTTTACACTCTCTCTTCTCCGAGTATGCTAAGTATGTACTAAAAATAGCAAAATTTTATGGAATAAGCTCATAAATTGATTTTTGTTTCCGTTTCCGCACCACGCAAATAAGCTTTTGCTTCCCCTCTCCTTCCTCTCCCTCTTTCTTCTCTTAAACCCACTATCGTGCTGCAGGATATTGAAACTGAACTTATTTTCCTTTAAAACTATAAGTATGGAAAGTGGAAATTAGATTAGTCCACAATAAAAGTGTCGCATTTACTTTCTTCTTTCAACAGATAAATGAGAAAAGTACTTACAGTAGTAAATACTGTAAATACAATATACTGTCGCTCTTGAAGCTAATCGTAAGCGACGATATGTTTGGATTATTAAAATAAAAACTCAAATTTAACACTTATTCTAGAAATCTAAAATAGAAAAACTTAATGTTACAAAAATATACAAAGAGGTGAAACGCGTGTGTCTAACAGGGAAGACGTGACCAATCGTTCACGATTTCCTTCTTAGAATCTATGCTATTATCCAGTATGAGCACTTCGAAGGGTGGGTGGTCAAAAATGGTTTACAGCCGTCTACAATTCCTACATTTGGCTGTAAACATACCACCCGCTAAAGCAGCCACCTTCCCTTGAATAACATGAAAAACAATTTGAAAGTTTTAAGTTGAGATTTCTTAAAATGGAACATCAAATAAACGACTTATTTCCTATTTATTTCCTTTTTTGTAATCAATAAAACATTTTTGATTAGTTACTGAATTTGTATGCCCACAACCAGTTGATAAAAACTGACTAAACTGTGTTTAATATCTCAACAACTCCGGATAATAGCTTTTCTAGCACAGGGTTTCATTTAACTTACAATAAAATGATGAAATATTTGAAATATTTCTCTAATGTATGTATAACCCTAGTTTTTACGTAATGTGAAGCCAGTTCATCCACCAGTTTTTGCCATTCTTAGCTTTTCCACTCAGACAGGCAAAAAATTTCACCAGGAGGTTATTTGACTAAATGAAAAAGCATTCAAAGGCAGTGACGATGTCTGTTAAAGAACGAATCTAATAAATGACAATTCAATTCTCGCTGAGAACAGATAACATTCAAGGTTTTGTTTTATAAAAGAATTTTGATTTGCTAATATTGCACAAAAAACAAAACAAATAAATTAAAAAGAAAATTAAATCTGTCGCACATTAAATATTTCCATATCAGAAAATTTTAGATTGCAAGTGAAAAAAGAATACCTACCTACGAATGTATATCAGTGGGCGCATTTACCGTACGTTCATCATAAGGTTGCCAGCCTTAAGACTGTTTGGATACGCATCTCCACTCTTTTCTGTCCTAAACTAATCTTCGAATTTTTCTAAAACTAAAATATCCCACATCCTTAGCTATTTGCTAACAATAATCTAATCTAAGTCTACTCTACCCCTCTTAACTCATGTTTCTGCCTCTAATAATTCTCTGACTAGACCTGAGGTGTCCTACCAACCTATCTCTCCTATTTTTTATTGACTTCCATAGAGTTTTCTATTCTCTTATTCTTTGTAATACCTCTTCATTTCTAACCTTCTTTATCCACGTTATCCTTATCATTCACCTGTAACACCACATTTCGAACGCTTCTAGCCTTTTCTTTTCTGCCGCGCCCACCGTCCATGCTTCGNTTTAAAATTGCATTTATTTCAGACAATTATAAATATTATCATTATATTATCAAGTAAAAACGAGATTTTCAGCTAATTTTTCATTTTTTCCTCGATAACCATTTAGTGAATTTGAATAACCTTACGCTAAAGTGATTCTCCAGAGTTCAAGTTACTTATTATAAAAGTTTGAAATTTCTGGTAGCTTTTTTTCTGTTAATAATATGTTCGGTCAACGAATCTCCATAAACTGCAAAATTACAATTTTTTAAAATTTCAATAACTTTTTAACGGTTTAGTGAATCGATTTGTAATTTTTACAGGAGTTTTAGAATTGAATGAGGAACGTTCTTCCAAATTTTTACTTGTCTCGTAGCATTTTGACACACCTCCCAAAAATCCTTAACAAGGGCTTGTTGATAACGTAGAAAATAACTGCAGTCACAAGTAGAAACAAGAAAGAAGATATGTTACGGCCAAATATACATATACATACATTTGTATTTTTAACGAAATAATGAATAAAGATTTTAAAAAAGTTTTTAATTTTGTTGTGGTGCGAAAATTGGGAGCAGATTTTTAATGCACCCGCATACATCACCTCCGAAAAAAACAAAAACAGAATGAAATCGTTTCTGTTTAACGCTTAAGGTAAAATTGTGGAGTTGTTGGCCATAAGTCTGCTATTCAAGCATACAGGTTACAAGTTACTCGAGCGAGAGCTTTTCACAATACCTATCCTTAACCCTCGGGCGTTCCTTGAAACAAGAGACGGTATTTCCAGTTTCAATGGTAAGTTAATATGGTTCACAAAGCCCGTACAAAATACTTTCCTTCTAATACGGTTTTGTTATGTAAATTCGGGTGCCGAACACAAACACGAGAAAGCCATTATTATTTCGAAAGCATCTGAACTCGCGCGCCGTGTCGGGAAAAGCGTATTTCGCAATGAATGCTTTTTGCCTCCAGTTACGTACTTCCTGCAATTTTCTACTGACAGACCACACATACCCACCTACATTGAACCAAGTTCCACTTTAATACTTGGAAACTAATTTATATATTACAGGATCTTAAAATAAAGAACATTTGGTGTACCGAGACACCACTTGTTCGAGTCTCTCGTTCAGAGATTCGAGTCTCTCGTTCAAAGATTGGAGTCTCTCGTTCAGAGACTGGATACGAAATGAGAATCTCTCTATGAGCGACTCGAGTCTCTCGTTCAGAGACTGGATACGAAATGAGAATCTCTCTATGAGCGACTCGAGTCTCTCGTTCAGAGACTCTAAACAGTTTTTTTGACAGTCTCTCTCAGCGACACTAGACAGACTCGATAAAAGACGGAAACTCGAGCCTCGCTTTCAGAGACTCTGAGAGACTGAACATTTTAATCTCGATATGTCCTATATCTAAAGTGAGCAGTTATCGATTTTACGAATAGTTTCTTTCAAATTCAGGAAGGCGCTTAAGTTGGAACAAACACATTTAAAGTTGAGGGGCTTGTCTTTTTTGAAATTTAAAACAACAAATTATCTCAGTAAATGTTAAAATTTGCGCACATTAACTTCCTGACAACTGGCAAATCGATCGTGAAAGTCTTGTAACACTTTAGTTTAAGTTTATGTTTGGATTTGTTGTATTTCAGCCCTAACTCAATGTTCTTCAATTCTTCAATATTTTCCGGTATATTAAAGTAGACTTTAGATTTTAGAAAAAACCAAAGATAAAAAGCTAATGCAGTCAGGTCTGGAGACCTAACTGACCGATGGCGACTCTTTCCGATCCATATATTTGGCAAAATATTGTTAACGTAATGTCGTACTAATCGCGAATAGTATAGGGGTACTCCATCTTATTGGTTTAGGTTTTCGACATTTGGGTAAAGCGCAATTAATTTGGGTATTATGTAATTTTGTAGCTGGTCTAAGTATATCAAACATTGTTAAAATTCCATGCAGAATTCAAAAATGCAATTAAAGATAGGTGTTTTCATTTAAAAAAAATAATGTCGGTAGTAATCGCTTTTTTTTATGTTACCCTGTATACATGAATTTACCATGAAAAAACTCAAAGCCAGAAATAAAGATGGACATGTCCAAACGTTATCCCAAAAAAGAAACCCTTGAATTTTAAATGAATTTGTTTCAACCCACGCGCGTACAAGAATATGGGTACCTATTTCCAACGTTAAAAGTTTGTTGCTTTTTTTGAATAAGTAACACAAAGGCATAACCGAATCTATAAATAAATTTCTGAATAGTCATAGAAGGTCTAAGAATGTACAGTAACAAAGGGCGGTCACTCTTACGTTTAGTAAAATATTCCGAATGGTATAAAAGTATAAATAACAGCTGTTGTGAATATTATATATAAAAGAAAATGTGAGTGCTGTCAGCACACGGCAAAGTATTAGTATTACGTAGTTAGTATCAGCAATTTCTTATGCTGAAGTGTACGATGTGTTGCATACAAATTTACAAACGATTCCTTTAAATTTAATTTTTCAAAACATTTTTAATACAAAGTGAACAAATTGTTCACAAAAGTGAATTTCGACCACTCGAAGCAATGGTGCTAACAGTTTCGAGCTCACAGTGACTGATGGGGGGAAGAATTAGTTTAATTTAAAGAAATTTATCCTGGATGCATTCGGAGTGTTTAAGAATTACCCAACATAATAATATGACTGAAAATTACCCCGTAGATTACTAGCGGCCAAATCATATCTTCTCTTTCTAAGATAAGTTATTGAATTTGTTTTTAAAAACAATAACAATGACATTTTTATTACAGTAGAACCATGATAACTTAAACCTTGAAAACGTATCAATCAACCTCTATAAATTCATAAAATTTTGTTCCCTTCCCCTCAGAGTGTAAAACTTGTATTACTTAAAATAAAAACCCTCTATAACTTAAAGGAATAATTTGGGCATCCTCAGTAAGCAGTGAAAAGTGGTTTGAATCGGGAGAAAGTCTTCTGTGTAAAAACGAAGAATTGCTAAATTTCCTAATTTAGAAAAATGCTTGGCTAAGACAGTGTAGAAATATGTAAAAACATTAGTGTTAGTGGACCGATACTAAAGGAAAAAGCTGAAGAGTTTGTTGTCACTAGAAATCCATAATTTTAAAGCTTAAAACTTAAACCCTTAGTAAGTAAAAACCTCAATAACTCAAATTATTTTATGTTTCCCTTAGTCTTTATCTTATCGAGATTCTAGTGTAATACCAAACTTGCAGTTTCAAAAATATATTCAAATGTTTCATTTCATACGCTATTCATTCATGCCACATTCCCGTAACAACAATTAAAATATTAAGTGTTTATTAAAATTTCACTTTCTAAAATAATATTCTACATCATATTTGCAGTAAAATTGCGACGCCTGCTAAAGTCCACTTTGTCGGTCTCTCCTTAGTTTTCAAATTGAATGTCCAAACAAAGGTCGGTCCCCTCAATTTCGTCTTATAAACGGGACAATCGTACATGTTCTTCAGATCTTGTTTATCTTGCGTAATCGCCTTAATATATATTACGGGCACAACTGGATACAATTCTTTCAGTTTCGAGTCAGCTATACTACCAGTAGCGATATCCCATCGTGCCCCTTCCATGAATAGTCCGTGGACATAAGCACCCTCTCTTGGTGGACTCGTAAAATCTTCTTTCTGTTTCTTTGTTACGTCAGTAAGCAGACACATCTTATCCAACGGCCATTCATTTTTTCGAGCCGTCTGTTGCATAATGGCCGTAAGAAATGATTGTGGATTGAAGAATCCACCCAACCAGACTGTTGGAGGCAAATTTAAATCGCCAGACCAGTCTTCTAAGCTTCTAATTCTATTTCCCAAGTCTGCACACCACGCACTAAGGCCAAGTAGGCTGGGATAGGCTTTGGCTACCCAAGGATCAGGTACTTTATCCATAAACAAAAATTCCATCAATTCCTCCATGACTGAACTGATGGTCAATTCACCTTTCAGTCCAAGTTCCAGTTCTTTCAACGATCGTTTCATCTCGTTTGTTAACATATTCATCCTTTCGCATTCTTGGAAACAAACGATAATGAATGGAGTTCGTTCTTCCACTTTGGCCATCATTTCGTGCACAGGAAATGCTTCCGGAAGTCTGTCCAAAATATCTTCGATCGCCATTCTGACTTTATCTTCTTTCGATATTCCAACGCCAACTGCAGCTTCAGCTTCTCTCGGTTGAAGTTCGAATACGGTTTGGAATAAAGTTTCAGACGTCGCAGTTAGGAAACCAATTTCAGCATTCGGGTGTAATCCGTACAAATTAGGAGATTCCGGTGGTAATCTGTCATCTATGTAACGATGGTAGTTCTGATAATCTGTGTTGGGGGGTGATATAAAACCTGGCGCCATTTCCAATTCGCCTTCTACTAACTCGGGCTGCATGTATTCTAAAAGGTACGTTCTACACAATCGCCTGTCCCAGTCGTCAGTAATATGACCTCCGTACATAATCTCCCCGAAAAGGTATCGCAGGTCGTCCCACGGAATTCGGGGGTTCCCTTCTAAATAATTATACAATACGTTAATACTGATGGTAAGATCGCCAAAATTGAATGGATAAACCCTATTCCATCCTTGCGCTCCAAATTTACGTCTCTCTTGGATTACTGCATGGAAATAGCAAAGAGCGAATAATATTGATTTAAATTCTGCCTCTTTTGTGCACATTTCTAGTGTTTCTTGGGTAAAATTGTCCAGAGCTTTATGAAGATTGGCAAACATTCCTGTTGGCGGTTCGTTTGTTATTTTTATCGACGACTCAAGTATTCCTTGTGGCAGTACATTAGACATCGGATCAGCAGATGCTTCTGCACTCATATAAAGTCTGTAATCTTTGTGAGATTCTTCGTTGAACTGTTCCATCTTCTTTTCTAATGTGGGTAACCATTTCACGACCAAGTGAATATTTTCGAGGATAACCCATTGACCAAGCTCCGCTGAAACGTCCATCGCATGCTCTGCAACTACTTCTTGGCCTTGTCCAAGAGAAACCATATGAAAGTTGCCGGAGTCGAACATAAAACCCAACTTTTTACCTAACATTTCTACGTCCTTTAAAGGATTTACGCCAGGTGATATTATAAAGAATGTAGGCGTTGAATTGCTCGTTTCTTCGTACGACTTCTCAAACGGAATCGATCTAGCGGTAATATACTTGGAACCCAATTTCTCTTCAATAAAAACATTTATAGCATAGGTCATTCGGTCTGGGCGAAGTGCTCTCATTATACATAACCTTTGAAGTGACGTCTTGGATTTCCATTCGCCTGGTAATTTCTCCTTTTCGGGATTTTCACTTTCAACAAATTTTCTCCATCGTTTTGCAGAACCCTCCAGATCCTTATCGAGACCCTTAAACTCGTCCCTGTTGGATAAAGCTTTAACACCCCCCCACGACTGATGACTGAGGAAATCAAGAGGAGAATTTACACCAGCAACTATTGGAAAACGGAGGAGAAAATCGAGCTCCTCCGATGTTATTTCTTCCGCATTGAGCAAAATCTGAAATGCCATTTGTGATTTAAATATAAGTTTATCACGTTCGAATAATCCCCTGCTGGTGTACATGAAAACCATGAACGTTATGCTGTCCAATAAATTTATCACTCGAGCTTTAAGACTGTCTGCCTCATCAGCTCTTGCCAGAGCATTCAGAAACACTGTGGTGAACGCCTTTAATGAAAACTGATATATGAGATTGATTTTGCATAATTCGTTCAATATAAAATAAAGAAGGGAAGCCCTTATGGCTGCAGGTCGATAATGTTCTCTAGCTACGTCAATTTTAATAGATGTTGCTTTTGCTTCAACGGATTTTATTTCAATTTCCGCTGCAGTTTTTTTAGTTCGTTCCAGATTTTCTACCAATGCAACATCTCCCAATATATTGCCCGTTGCCGAAGATAATCGCTCTAATAAAGCATCTTCACAGTATTTTATCGTGATCTTAAAATCGTTCTGTTGTTTTGTCAGAGAAGATTTTAATGTTTCCAAATCCGGCCTTTCGGCCTTCACCACTTCCGCCAAAAGTTGCTCCTCTAAACCATCCCTTGTGACTGTAAAGTTTATCAAAGTAGTTTGTGCCTGGATTTCCGGTTTATAATGGGGATTTGCCAACTTTGTTTGAATTATGAGCCTGAAGTTAGGATCATAGTCAACTTCTTTGTCGCCCAACTTAATTGCCTTTCCCTTCTTTATCAAAACTCTTCCAAGAATGGGATCTAAGACGGCATCAAGAGCTTCACCGATGTTTTCCAAGAGAACTACTTTCCCATTAGAAATCGCCCTTTCTATCATGTCCAAGTAGTTTCTAGTTGTAAGTCTCACTACTATTAGTTCCGAACCGAATCTGTTTTTTATCCACTTTATACCTTGAAGTTGTGGATCGATCATTAGAGGCCACCTCGCCGAATTAACTAAAATTGTGGCGTTTTCTGTGGACATGCTGTCACTTGGCAAGCCTTCGTTGTTCCACTTAGCAACCACTGCATCGTCTATTACAAGCGATAGAGGATTTAGGTCTTCGGTCATCGGAATAGGAGGGTCACAACGTTTCAGATACGGCAACCACTTATTCTTCATCATATCTATACGATACTTTCTCATAAAGCATCCAACGTACGATATAAATGAAGTCAAAAGTAAAATATCTCCTGGAGTTGTTGTGATTGATGCTTGATAGCTTTTTATCGATTCCCTCCATCGGACGTTTTCTGATGCAAGTCCGTTGACTAGCCTGTTTGCTAAATCGATCATCAAGGCAGTTGCATCCGCTTCTGCTTGACATTTCATTTTAGCTTCTGTTGCTACATCAAAATCCGCTTTCAACACGGCTAGCTGTTGTTCGAGTACGCCCAACTTTGTATTCAATTCCGTCAATTTTGCTCGCGCAGCGTTCAAATCGTTCGTCGCCTTCTGCAGCGCCTTTCGCTTGGGCTCAACCACTACAAAAACATCATAATACTTCAAAATGTTAATAACCCAGGAGCAGAGTCCAGCTGCAGCGGCCGATTTGGTTAAAATATTCTCGTAATTGAATCCTGGAGTTTGAGTATACTTTATTACTTCTTTCACTACCTCGGGTTGCATATTATCCTTGTCGTAGTTAACAAGGTCAGACAAAAATTGGTCGACTTTTGCCATTATACCTTTGCAGGCTTTCCAACTGCGGTCTCTCGGCATAGGTTTATTTTTTGGTGTAAACAAAACCAAAACGGCAGCAGTGACAGCAACGACTGCATCCGGCGGTTGAGCGAAAGACTTCAGTTCGGTAAGATTGTTCTTATTCAACGTATTCAACGCTTGCTGGGCGGCAATCAAGGCTGGCTCGGCTTTTGCCAATTCTTCCGCACATATTTTCTGCTGGACGGACACTTCCTCTTCTACTACTTTTACTTTAGCTTCTTCTTCGGAAGCAAATTCTTTTTCGCTCGATACTTTTTCGTTTTCTACAGCCAAAACTTTAATCAAAGCATCGGCGGCTGCATTCTTTTCTGCCAGTTCGACTTCTTGCACTGCCAAAATATCTTTCAACCCGTCCACCTCTTCGGCAGTGGAAACAAGTTTCGTTAGCCCATTTTCAAATTTAAATATGTTATTTTCTATGTTGCGTATTTTCTCTGTTAACAATTTCGAATATAGAGCGATCAATTCTAAAAATGTCTTTGGTGTCGTGTAATTGTACCGCTTTTCGTTTAGAAGATATGCAGCTGACATATCATTTACTACAACGTGCACGAAAGACATGTACAACGATATCGGATGCACCAGTTCCGGTGGTAGAACTTCTATTTCGGTTAAGAATCTCTTTGATACGGACTCCAAGGCCTCCTCTGGCCATTCGTGGAACCAGTTAATCGATGTGCAGTTAACAATCGCTGGAAATTTTCTGGCTCGCACTCTCAACGTGGAGCCTACAGGAGAAAAACATAGAACAGTCTTTATTATTCTCCGACAGCGTTCTATATAAAATTTCCAGCAGTTCTCCCTTGTTTCCTGCAACCCAGCCGCTTTAACTTCCGGTTTCATAACATTCAAAATATTTTCGGTCTCCTCGTCGGTGAGTAATTCGGGAATCTCACCGGAAGCAAGCATATCGTTGACAACTACCAGGAATTTCTCTTCGGCCACTTGGGAATCGGTCATCAAGAAGACACTGCTGACATTTTTCATTCCTGCCTTTACATAAATTGTGGCAATGTCAAGTTTGAGATCGACTATTGAATATCCTTTCTTCAATTGCACTTGAAAAACTTCCAACGAAGAGATGAAGGAAGAAAGACGGGTTAGACTTTGTTTTCCAGAACCGCCCACGCCAACAAGTAACGCATTGCCTCTAGGACCCTCTATTATGCGATTTATTCGGCATATATGTTGCATGGCATCGTCAAAAAGTACCAAATTCATCGCTGCCACCAAGTCATTGTAACTACTCAATGCTTCGTTCAGCAGTCTACTCAAATGATCCATATCTCTGATCATATAGTATTTTGGATCACCCAAACCTTCAGCGAAATGACAAAATATTAATGGCTCGGCCATTACCTCACCCTCGTCTAATTCTTCGAATCCTTTGCGGACTGTCTCCATCAATAGTTTACTGAAGTTCTTTATATCCGGCTGTTCGATGAATCTGTCGCTGTAAACCCTATAAGACTCGTGCATGTATAGACGTATCATGTGAGAAGCAGTGGGAGCGGCATCTCCGGTACAATACATAATACTTTGGAAAAGATTCGAGGTGTCTCTTAGATTGAAATTATAGTGGAATTTCACAGCAGTCGGTAAAAAATTAGATATTACCTTACTGTGCATATTCAGTGCAGCGGCTACAATATTGTCACAGAGTTTCTGAACGTTGGGGTTAAACTTGAGGGCAGGTATTGCCAAGTGCTGGCTGAAAATTGAACTGTAGATTACCACCATGGCGTCGTATGTCGGCGGGCTGATCGCGAATACACAAAAGTGTCGCTGTAATCTTGGATCAATCGTGAAGGAACCAGCCGTTGGATTCATACACGACACCATTTGAACATTACTTATATCTTTCAGTGATAGTTTTTGTCTGTCGTACCAATGCTGATAGTCCATCCATTGTCTGATTAATGTGTGCGGTTGTACCGTGAAGTATTTATCAACCTCTGGCATGTTCATGTCGTCAACGAAATAAATCATTGTTTTATTACCGGGAGGACCGTACATCCTGCCTGCCTTTTTCTCTAGCGGTCCTTCCAAAATTTTCTGCAGCATTTCAGATGTTGTGTAGAAATTAAAAGGGACATTCGTAACCGCGTAGCTCTCCGGAAGACTGTCAAGTTTATCGATCATTATGACGGACTTGCCGCTTCCCGCATTTCCAATTAACATAACGGGATGTTTGTTGGCTATAAGTATGTCGACGAAATATCTGACACGCACAGTCTCTGCCGTGTTCACCAGGGTTGCCTGTAACGGAATTTCGGGGTCAAACTCAAACTTGGGAACCAGGTCCGTCCACGGTTGAAACTTTTTCGTTTCTTGATCGATGTAATAATGAAACACTGTGCCGGCGGCCGGGAATTTTACGGTCTTGAACTCGTTAACGAACCATTTGCTAAATTCGTTTCTCCAATCGGCCAGTTGATCCTGGAACAGTGACGATCCGAAAGCCCATACGACACAAAACACGAAATAGATCTCGTACCATTCTTTGGGACAGTCGGGGGGGACGTTTTCAGGCACTAAAAATGCGTCTAACAAGAAACAGATCATGCACAAATGTGCAATCTCGCATATCGGTGTTATTTTCTTAAATTTCGTTCTAGTCGCGTCCAAACACGTCGGAATATATTTATCGAATAAAATCGTAAGATTGGCCTTTTCGTTCTGCGATTCTCGCGTATCGATCCAGGAACTCACGTACGGATTCCAGCCGAGATCGGCCGGATTTATGTACAATATTCCAGCCCTGGACACGGTGGCGGGTGTTGCCGTTCGCAAATTTGCAATTTCAAACAACAATCTCATGAACGGGGTCAAAGCGATCCTTTCGTTACTCGCCAACGTCAGCACTTTGTTGTCGTCCATTAAAGTGTTCAACGATTCAATCCACATGGGATCGATATCGCCGTCGAGCACGATCCATTTCGGCCCGTCGCCGGCCATGTTTGCTTGATCTCTCATAATGACCGAAAATAGTCCGTCTTTCCATTCTCGAGTAGCCGGATTGATAATTCCGAAAAGTTCGTCGTTTGTTACCGCTTTCGGGTTCAGATCGTTGTAAAACGGTTTTCGTTTTTGGTTTGCGTACGTTTTGTTGAGAGTTTTCCAGACACACGTTTTACCTGTACCAGCAAAACCGACTATGAATACGGAATGTCTCACGGCAAACAATTCCTCGAGCTGTACAACTTTCAACACGAATCCGTCTTCCGGTTGTAGCTTCAAATCCATCGCCGATTTACGGATCGTCTTCTCAAATTCCAAATCTCGCTTACGCGGTACGTCCAAGGCCGGAAATAAGTCGCCAATCAGACCCATAAATACCGGTACGTCGTCGGTAACGATTTTGGGAATGTTGAAGTCTCTCAGTGCTCGCATAAGCACCTGATCTTCAGGTCTCAATCTGTCACCTCTCTTCAGAGAACCCGCAACGACCAGTACTGACTTGATGGCACGTAAACCCCAGTCGTAGTGATCTTGTTTGCTCAGTAGTTCTTTACATAGCGTGTAGAGTGTGATGAATTTTCTGGCTAAAAGACGAGCCTCTTGAAATCCCTCTGCCACCAACATAATTTCGCATATGAGCGCAAAGTCTGGCACCACCATTGCACAGGGGCGGAAGAGAGCTTTCAGATTTTCGGGGAGCTCGGTTCTACCGGCATAACCAGGGTTCATGGTTATGAAAATCCCAACCTAGTAAACCAAATAAACAATTTTAGTGCATGTATGTACCTACAGGATGTTTCACATAACTTCTCTGCCCCCACATTTCTCAGTTATTTTTGGCGAAAGACAAAAAACTCTCAAATCTTTATTTTATGACTTATTTTATCACATATTTGTAGCAATTAAAATGGAAAACACTCTATATTTTCTTCTATTTTTAACTTGAGAAGAATTACATATCTTATCCAACGGCCATTCA